TACTGAGGTTGAACTACCAGCAACGTTGGCTGTAGGCGACTTCTCTTCATGAACACTTGGTGTTATCTCGGCTACTTTACCATCAGCACCTGTGTGCAGCAGCAATACAGCAGATACATTTTGTGAAACTCCAAAAAAAGACCACAAAGTTGCAGTTTTATAATAAATTTATAAAAAAAACTACTAGTCTATACAAAAAATACTACAAATACAATTTAGCTGTGCTAAACAAAAACATACCTTTAGCATTTTTACTACCTTCTTCATCCACTTTATTTAGATCATCAAGACGAATATCAGTAAGTGCTTTATTAACACTCTCTTCATCGAATGTTGTCCAACCCGTTCGAACTTCGTCTTCATCAGCCATTATCTAGAGTACTTTTTAAAGTGATGAAAGAAACGAGGCTGAATTGAATGCCGTTGAGATATATTGCAGTAAATAGTAATTTCTTGACCGCTGATAAAAGAGTTTTATGCTGGATGAAAAATATCTAAGTATTTTTCCATGCATCTACATATTTGCACTGAGATTAAAAATTGGGATAACTTATTCCATCTGTTGAGGGGGGGAGGGGGGGGGGACAAAAGAGTTGAACATAGATTTTTGCTGCATGAAAGCTGCAGAAAAAAAACTTAAAAAAAGTTAAAAAGTTTTTCTCTTTTTTAAATCTGCTTTCAAGCTGAAAGAGCTAGTCATTAAGGTTCAGATCAACAACTAGGCGACTAATCACTAAACTTAAATAATTGTTTTCTTTTTTTTTTTTCTTTTTGGCTTAAAATGCTGTAATCATTAAAGTTATTATCTGTTTAGAAATGCTGCAAAACTGAACGCATGTGTACTGCACTCTTATAAAGCTGCAGAATGAATAATGAAGTTGAGAGGAAAAAATGAGGAAAGAAGGAAATAAAAAAACAATTTTGTTGGCATAAAATGTAATTGAAAATTATTGAAAAAAAACAATTCTTTTTTTTTTTTTAGCCAGAAAAGAAGCCAACACTTTAGAAGAAAAAAAAAACAGTATATTAATTGAATTTCTGTTTTTATCTACTCTCTGTGTTGAAAATGTCCTAAAATACTTAATTAGCAAAAAGTAATGAATAACAACATAGTTAATTCTTTAACCAATTCTAAGCCCAGTCACTTCGATGCCTCTTTGAACATTTGGTACTGACGATTACTCTGTTAGGAAACGAATTTAAGGTACCATTTTTATGTACACTATATGGCTATATATATATATATATATATATATATATATATATATATACGTATATATATATATATATATATATATATATATATATATACAAAGAAACCAGCTGTGCAGATAATTTGAAACGCTGTACCCATTGATACCTCTGTTTTAACAGTCGACCTCCAATGCTATGCACTAAGCCTACACTGAATATACACTTGGAAAGCAAGGATTTTTGTAGAAGAATAAACATTTCTGAAGAGACAAAATTCTGCAAATTTGATGTCTATTTCAAGTGCAGTATTACCGATATTTTAGAGATTTAGGAGCTAACATTAGTCCAAAGAAAGAATAATATAGAATTTATATTAATTAAGCTTAAAGTTTCAATGTTATTTCGCTTACATAGGCTAACTTATCGTCACTTTTTGCTCTTTTTTTTTCAATTTATTAGCACTCAACAATCAAACAACAATCTGCCAGCTTTTCGTGGTTTTATAAAAAAAAAAA